GTTTTGATGCTGTTTATATATAATGTTTATTATTTTCACTAATCTTTGAATAAAATCAGTTTTATGTTACACTCATGATAGGATAAGGAGTCTATAACCATGCTGGCTGTATTTAATTTTCCTCTGATTTTTGTTTTGTTTTTGCTGGTCAGATTTGAACCCATGTCAGCCCAGTAACCCATGCCAGAATAATGGTTTCTGTGTACAAGTACAAGGTTCATGCGTGGATTACACATGTTCTTGTCCATTCTGTTACTCCGGCAATAATTGTGAAATTGGTAAGTCAGTATATAAGTTGTTAATAAAATTTGGTTTAAAACAATTTTGCAAATTTTTAATATTTCTTTTAACTTCCATTCAGTAACATGTCTTAATGAGTCTGTTCCATTGATTACAAACATATTATTTTTTTTCTGGCCGTATTTTTATTCTGCATTGCTAAGTATAATAATTGCTCTCTGACGTATATTTCTGTTTTGTCTCTTTCTGTTTCAGAGTTGAATCAATGTAGCCCTAACCCATGTGAGAACGGGGGAACGTGTTCACGTCTCGGTGGTTGCATACAGTATCAGTGTCAGTGTCCTGGCTGCTACACAGGACCTAATTGTCAGACATGTAAGTGTATCTGTCATTTGACGTTATCACCTTATAATTACTAAATACAAGACATTCAGAAAATATTTGATAATTTTTAAGATTGTAGATGAAAACATTGAGGATATAATATGACGCAACGGATGATGGCAATCCAACTGTGGTTCTAACTTGTCCCTTCTCTTTATTCATAGTACTTAATCCATGTTTGCCGAATCGTTGCCAGAATGGCGGTACTTGCATACAGACCCCAGGGTCATGTACAGACTATACATGTACATGTGCTGGATGCTACACAGGACAGTACTGTCAAGATCGTAAGTACCGTATTTCACTTCACTAACTGCTGTTCTATAGGCTGTCCAACTGTGATGTCATACATTTACATTTCTGGCAACCAGCATGCAAATATCTGATGACGAATGTCACTCTCAGATGTGATCTGTGGTGACAATGTTGCCCACAAATTGTTTTAATAACAGCGAACACTGGTATCCATGGTTACAGCCAAATAATAGGAAGTGCCTGTCTAAAAACTTTATCAAAATGAAAATGTTTTTTTTTTATATATATATTTATGGTTATTTTGTAATTTACTTATAATTTTTTAATGAAAATTGCACAGATTTGTAACGATTTTTCCTGTCAAATTAAATTTTGTGTCTGTCTAAAATGTGGATTGCCTGTCTAAAATGACAAGTAGACAGGTGGCTGACTAAAATGACAGATAGACAGGTGGCTGGCTAATATGACAGGTAGACAGGTGGCTGGCTAATATGACAGATAGACAGGTGGCTGGCTAATATGACAGGTAGACAGGTGGCTGGCTAATATGACAGGTAGACAGGTGGCTGGTTAATATGACAGGTAGACAGGTGGCTGACTAAAATGACAGGTAGACAGGTGGCTGACTAAAATGACAGGTAGACATGTGGCTGGCTAAAATGACAGGTAGACAGGTGGCTGGCTAAAACGAGAGGCAGACAGGTGGCTGACTATAATGACAGGTAGACAGGTGGCTGACTAAAATGACAGGTAGACAGGTGGCTGACTAAAATGACAGGTAGACATGTGGCTGACTAAAATGACAAGTAGACAGGTGGCTGACTAAAATGACAAGTAGACAGGTGGCTGACTAAAATGACAAGTAGACAGGTGGCTGGCTAAAACGAGAGGCAGACAGGTGGCTGACTAAAATGACAGGTAGACATGTGGCTATCTAAAATGACGAGTAGACATGTGGCTGGCTAAAATGACGAGTAGACATGTGGCTGGCTAAAATGACAAGTAGACAGGTGGCTGACTAAAATGACAAGTAGACAGGTGGCTGGTTAAAATGACGAGTAGACATGTGGCTGACTAAAATGACAAGTAGACAGGTGGCTGACTAAAATGACAAGTAGACAGGTGGCTGGCTAAAACGAGAGGCAGACAGGTGGCTGACTAAAATGACAGGTAGACAGGTGGCTGACTAAAATTACAGGTAGACATGTGGCTATCTAAAATGACGAGTAGACATGTGGCTGGCTAAAATGACGAGTAGACATGTGGCTGACTAAAATGACAAGTAGACAGGTGGCTGACTAAAATGACAAGTAGACAGGTGGCTGACTAAAATGACAAGTAGACAGGTGGCTGGCTAAAACGAGAGGCAGACAGGTGGCTGACTAAAATTACAGGTAGACATGTGGCTATCTAAAATGACGAGTAGACATGTGGCTGGCTAAAATGACGAGTAGACATGTGGCTGACTAAAATGACAAGTAGACAGGTGGCTGACTAAAATTACAGGTAGACATGTGGCTATCTAAAATGACGAGTAGACATGTGGCTGGCTAAAATGACGAGTAGACATGTGGCTGACTAAAATGACAAGTAGACAGGTGGCTGACTAAAAACCTGCATATGTCTTTGGGCGTGTACAACTGTTTCTCGCCAACCAGATAACGCACATTATGTATATGTGCAAAACATGAATAGGTGCTAACTTCTATAATGCACTGACCTGTTAAAAGTCAATGATTCAATGACATGACTCCCAGTCTTGAAGACTCGAAATGTAAATGGAAGTTACCATATCTCAGTTATAAGGTCACTCCTCCTCATTGATTACATCAAACTTTGTATTTATGTTCACAGTTATTGATCCATGCTCTAACCAGCCATGTCTGAATAATGGTTTCTGTAACCGTGTTGGTTCCTCCTGTACAAATTATCAATGTACCTGTCAAGGCTGCTACACCGGGACTACCTGTGCAACACGTAAGCATGCTTTGCTGTTAGTTGTAGGAATTAAGATCTAAGTGCAGCGGAAGGAACGGAAATTGAACGGTATTCATTTCTATCTGGAGTGTACATGTATTACAGAAAAATACCTCTTCTCGAATGATCTGGGGTGTAAATGGCTGGGGTGTAAAACACTAAATATTTGATGATGTGTTGTAAATACATTAAATATTCAGAATTTGTTCAGTTTAGTAATTAATAATAATGTAAAACATGTTTTTTTAGCTAGCATGTTATTTCAGCTAATTTAGCTCATCTGTAATTTCGCTAATTCAAGATGTAGCTCTTTTAAGGATGTAGTAGACATAACAAGTATGTTATAGTTAGGCTTGATATTTTCATATAAGAATTGTCCTGAACAATAGTAAACCATATATTGTATGAAACCTCTTATCTCACACTTTCTTGAATTCTGGGTCATTAAGGATATTCTCACATTGAAA